GTTTTTTGCATTCGGTGGGTTGGGACAAGGCTATGGTGACATGTATTCATCATTAGAATATTTATAGAGTATTTACACTTCCCTAAAAATCCTCTGTGCTGTACTTACTGATCCCCCCTCCCTCCTCAACCCTTAGCAACCTCCAATCTTTTTCCTTTCTCCATATTTTGCCTTTTCCAGGATATCATATATTTGGAATCATACAGTATGTAGACTTTTCGGACTGGCTCCTTCATTTAGTAATATGCATTTAAGTTTCCTCTATGCCTTTTCATGGCTTGATAGCTATTTCTTCTTAGTGCTAAATAATATTCTACCGCTAATGGACTCTAATGGACACACAGCATTTGAAATACAGGTGGGCAATGTTAAGCAGAGAGAAAGAACCAAAAAGAAACAGTAGAGATCAAAAACACTGTAACAGAAATGAAGAAATGCCTTTGATGGGTTTTTAGTAGACTGGCCATGGCCGAGGAAGGAATCTCGGAGCTTGAGAATATCTCAACAGAAACCCTCCTAAAGTGAAAAGCAAAGAGAACACTGAAAAAAAGAAAAAGATGAAAATATCCAAGGACTATGGGAGGACTATAAAAGGTATAACACAGTTTTGATGGGAATAGCAGAAGGAGAAGAAAGTGAAAAGGGAGCAGAGAAATATTTGAAACCTCACTGAGAGTTTTTCCAAAATTAAGGTCAGGCCCCAAATGACAGATCTAGGAAGCTCAGAGAGTGCCAACTAGGACAAATACCAAAAAAAAAAAAAACTACCCATCGTCAGTCCCTTTCCAAACTACAGAAAGTCAGACATAAAGGAAAAATTCTAAAAGAAAACAGGAGAAAAAATACCTCACCCATAGAGGAACAAAGGTAAAAATTACATCTGCCTCATCTACAGAGACAATGCAGGCACGAAGAGAGCGGGGTGAAATATTTATTTTATTTTATTTTATTTTACATTTATTTTTGAGAGACAAAGAGAGCCAGAGCACAAATCGGGGAGGAGCAGAGAGAGAGAAGGAGACACAGAATCCAAAGCAGGTTCCAGGCTCTGAGACATCAGCACAGAGCCCGACGCGGGGCTCGAACTCAGGAGCTGTGAGATCATGACGTAAGCTGAAGTCGGATGCTCAACCAACTGAGCCACCCAGGTGCCCCGTGGGGTGAAGTATTTAAAGTGTTGTGAGAAAAAACCCACAACCTAGAATTTTGTACCTTGTGAAATTATCCTTCAAAACTGAAGGAGAAATCATGACTTCCTTAAACAAACAAAAGTGGAGGGGATTTGTTGCCAGTAGACCCGCCTTACAAGAAATGATTTAAAGTTTCTTTAAAGAGAAGGGAAATGATACAGATCTGAAACTTGGGTCTACGTAACGAAAAGAAGAACGCTGAAGAAGGAATAAGTGAATTCTTTAAAGAAAAAAAAAATCATTGCCATGCCCACGGGCCATGTAGGTTTTCTCCTATGTAATCTTGGAGTTTTCTAGTTTTGTGTTTTACATTTAAATCTGTGATCCATTCTAATTTGTGTTGAAAAGTGTAAGGTCTGTGTATAGATTCACTTTTCTTTTGCATGTGAATGTCCAGTTATTCCAGCACTGTTTGCTGAAAAGACTATCCTCGTGCCATTGTATTACCTTTACTGCTTTGTCAAAGGTCATTGACTATGTGGGTCCATTTCTGGGCTGTTCCGTTGATCTATTTGTGTATTCTTTCACCCAGACCACAGTATCTTGATTATTATGGCTTTAGAGTAAATCTCGTGGTCAGGTAGTGTCAGTTTTCTTGTTTTGTTCTTCTCCTTCTTCTCCTTTTGAGTCTTTTGCCTTACCATATCATTTTAGAGTCAGTTTCTCAATACCCACAAAATAACCTGCTGGGATTTTGATTGAAATTGCATTGGACCTATAATGTGGAGGGAAACTGACATCTTGACAATATTGAGTCTTTCTGTCCACATCCATGGAATGTGTCTCCTTTGGTTCTTTTTTGATTCCATTCATCAGTTTTGTAGCTTTCCTCATATAGATCTTGTCCATATTTGGTTAGATTGTACCTAAGTACTTCATTTTTGAGGGATACTAACATAAATGGTATTGTGTTTTTAATTTCAAATTCCACCTCTTTGTTGCTGGTTTATAGTAAAGTAAATGGCTTTCGTATATTAACCTTGTATCCTGCAACCTTGCCATAGTTGCTTATTAGTTCCAAGAGATTTTTGTCAGTTCTTTTGGATCTTCTGCATGCATGATCATACCATCTGCAAACAAAGTGTTATTTCTTTCTTTCCAACCTGTACATATTTTCATGTGTTGTCTTGTCTCATCTGATGCGTTAGCTAGAACTTATAGCATAGTGTTGAAAAGGAGTGGTTGCCGGGGGGGGGGGGGGGGCGCGGACATCCTTGCCTTGTACCTGATATTAGTGGGAAAGCTTCAGGTTTCACACCATCAAGTGTGATGTTAGCGCTGGGGATTTTGTAGGTATTCTATATCAAGTTGAGGAAATTCTCCTCTATTCCTGATTTACTGAGAGTTTTTTATCATTAGTGAATGTTGGATTTTGTGAAGTACTGTTTCTGCATCTAGTGATATGATCATGTGATTTTTCTTTTTTAGCCTGTGGATATAATGGATTACATTAATTGATTTTTAAATTTTTTTAATGTTTATTTATTTTTTTTGAGAGAGAGAGAGGTGAGGGGTTGGGTCAGAGAAAGAGGGAGACACAGAATCCGAAGCAGCTCTAGGCTCTGAGCTGTCAGCACAGAGCCTGCGGGGGGGCTCGAACTCATAAACCATGAGATCATGACCTAAGCTGAAGTCGGATGCTCAACTGACTTAGCCACCCAGGCACCCCACATTAATTGATTTTTGAATGTTGAACCAGGCATGCATACCTAGGATAAATCTCACTGATTGTGGTGTATTATACATTCTTGGATTTGATTTGCTAAGATTTTTTTGAGGATTTTTATATCTGTGCACATGAGTGATACTGGTCTGTGTTTTTCTTTTCTTGTAATGTCTTTGTCTAGGACAAATGGTGGCCTCAGAAAATGAGTTAGGAAGTATTCTCTCTGCTTCTGTCCCCTGAAAGAGATTGTAGAGAATTGGTATAATTTCTTCCTTAAATGTTTAGTAGAATTCACCAGTAAACCCATCGGGCCTAGTGTTTTCTGTTTGGGGAGGTTATTGTTAATTCAGTTTCTTTAATAGATATAGTCCCATTCAGATCCTCTGTTCCTTCTTGTGTGAATTTTGTCAGCTGTGTCTGGCAAGGAATTGGGCCATTTTGTCTAGGTTATCCAGTTTGTGGGCATAGAGTTGTTCATAATATTCCTTTATTATCCTTTTTTTTTTTTTTTTTTAATTTTTTTTTTTCAACGTTTATTTATTTTTGGGACAGAGAGAGACAGAGCATGAACGGGGGAGGGGCAGAGAGAGAGGGAGACACAGAATCGGAAACAGGCTCCAGGCTCTGAGCCATCAGCCCAGAGCCCGACGCGGGGCTCGAACTCACGGAGTGC